TATACATGCCATTATTCAGTTCATAATTCTGGAACTCTCCTTCTTTTCACTGGGCATTACCTCTTGAGTTTGATTCATGTGAAAGGAGAACTAGTATACTCCTTTTTAAATTTTATTTATTTATTTATTCTTATTGATTTTAGAAGGAGAGGAAGGGAGAGAGAGAGAGAAATAGAAACATCGATGAGAGAGAAACATGGATTGGCTGCCTCCTCTACACCCCCTGCTAAGGATCTAGTCCACAACCGAGATATGTGCCCTGACCAGGAATTGAACTAGTGACTTCTTGGGGCATGGAATAACGTTCAACCACGGAGCCACACCGGCTGCACTAGTATAGTCTCTTTTTAAAATTTCTTTTTTTATATTGTGGTAAAATATACATAAAATTTACCATTTTAACCTTTTTTTTTATCCTCACCAGAAGACATTTTTGCATTTATCTTCAGAAAGAGCGGGAGGGAGAGAGGGGGCAAGAGAGAGAGAGAAACATCGATGTGAGAGAGACACATCAAGTGGTTGCCACCCACAAGACCCCAACCAGGGCCAGGGACAAACTGCAGCCGAGTCACATGCCCTTAGGGGGAACCGAACTCAGGCCTTTCTGGTCCACAGGCCAACACTCTAACCACTGAGCCAAACTGGCCAGGGCAATTTTAACCTTTTTTAAGTATATAAATCAGTGTCTTTAAGCACATTAACATTGTTATTCAACCGTCCCATTACCCATTTCCAGAATTTTTTCATCATCTATAGAAAACTGTACCCATTAAACAATAACTCCTCATCCCTTCTCTTCTAGCTCCTGGTTATCTCTCTTATATGTATTATCTCTGAATTTCTCTATGAATTTGTCTCTAGGTCATCTTTGATTTTGAAAGGTAATTTTCCCGGGTAAATAATTTTAGGTTGATTATTGTTTTTTATTCAGTACTTTGTCTTCTAACTTGCATTGGTTCTGATGCAAAGTCTGCTGTCAGAATTATCTTTGTTCTTCTGAATGTAATGTGCGTTTTGGCTGCTTTTAAGATGTTTCTCTTTATTACTGGTTTTAAGCAATTTGATCTTGATGGACCTTACTTTAATTTTCTTCATGTTTCTTGTCTTGATATTTGTTGAGCTTTTTGGATTCATAGGTTTATACTTTTTATTAAATTTGGGGAAATTTTAGCTAACATCTCTTCAAAAAATTTGTTTCTGTCATCACACCCCTCTCCTTTATAGACTCCAGTTAAATGTATGGTTGGCCTCTTGAAGCTATCATAAAGCTTAGTAATGCTCTGTTCATTGTTTTAGTCTTTTTCTCTACGTTTTATTTTGGATAATTTTATTGTTGTGGATTTAAGTTCACTAATCTTTTCCTCTGCAATGTCTAATCTACATTAATCCTATCGGGTATATTTTTCATTTCAGACATTATACTTTTTCTAGATGTTCAGTTTGAGTATTTTTAAATATCTCCCATGTTTACTTAACATGCTCAGTACCTCTAGCTTCTTGAACATATTGGGTATAATTATAATAACTCTTTTAATCTACAAATTCTTTGTTCTATGTCAAATTTGGGGACAAATTTCAATTGATTGATTTTTCTCCTGTTATGGGTCATTTTCCTGCTTCTTCACATGGCTGATTATATTTTATTAGATTCCGGACATTGTGACTGTTGCCTATTAGATGTTGAATATATTTGTATTCTTACAAATATTTTTGAGCTTTGTTCTGGGATGCATTTAAATTACTTGGGAACAGTTAATTGTGTTGCTTGACTTCCAGTATCTTTTATTTTTCTTTTATCCTCACCCAAGGACATTTTTTCATTTTTGTTCAGATAGAGTGGGAAGGACGGAGGAAGGGAGAGAGGGAGAGAGAGAGAGAGAGAGAGAGAGAGAGAGAGAGAGAGAAACATCCACGTGGAAGGGACACATTGAGTGGCTGCCTCCCGCATGACCCCAACCAAGGCCAGGGACAAATCGCAACTGAGGTATATGCCCTTGACCGAAATTGAACCCGCGACTCATTCGTCCATAGGCTGACACTAACCACTGAGCCAAACTGGCCAGGGCAGCTTCCAATATCTTGAACCATTTTTATATTTATTCTGTCTAGTTTTTGTTGTTTTAGGTGGAGGGTTAAATCCAGTTCCTATTACTCCATCTTCTCCAGAAGAGAAGTTGAGGGTGGGCAGCTTGATAGGATAGCATGTGCTTCTATAACCACTGATTTCCACCTGGGGGTAAGAAGCCAAAAATTCATTTCTGTTGTGCTGGGCCCAGTGTTGAAGAGATTACCAACTTAACATAATAGCATTCTTGGAAAGTTTTTACAAATCTATATTTTAAGCAATGTAGAGAGTGCAATGACTTTTGCAAATGGTATACAGTGTTCTGAACCCAGAGGCAGTGGGAAGGTCCTGGTGGGGACAGACAGTGAGTCTGTAAATCTGTCCCAGACTCAAACATCAGGGAGAGGAATGAGGTAGCGCCCTGGCCGGTTTGGCTCGGTGGTTAGAGCGTCGGCCTGCGGTCCAGAGAGACCCGGGTTCGGTTCCCGCTAAGGGCACGTACCTCGGTTGCAGTGTGTCCCCGGCACTGGTTGGGTCGTGCGGGTGGCAACTACTCGATGTGTCTCTTTCACATCAATGTTTCTCTCTCTCCCTCCCTCCCTCTCACTCTATCTGAACAAAATATGGAAAAATGTCCTCGGGTGAGGATAAAAAACAAAACAAAACAAATTTGGTTTTAGGCTATCTTGATTCTTTTAAATGTGTGGCACTGAATTCAATCCTATGTTGAAATAGCTAATGCATATAAATGCATCAGGTTATATAATAAATAATTGGATCTTGTATATTTACCAAATACTTTGAGGTCCAATGCTCTAATTTGCTTCTTTGTTTTGACAGGTGAGAAGAAAATGTAGATACACTGAAAAAAAGACCAGTTCTGCTGGTTAATATTACAGATTTCATTATCTTGAAATTTGTTGAACTGAGCAGATCTCACTCTGGGTGTATACCTGTTTCAGGATGTGAATTCAGATTTTAGTAATAGAGTGGGCTTTAAGAAATAGCTTTTCCTTTCATCTTTGCTTCATGATGACTCCCTGTGGCATATTTTACTTCTGAGTAATGTGTCCTGCTTTATCAGGCATTAAACAGTTGGCCCCAAAAGGTAATACTTGAACCAAAGACATTCAGTCCAATAAAAACAAAATAGATTTGAATATACATAAGGTCAGCTGTTAATTCTTATTTCATACTTCCTTGTGCTTATTCAAAAGTATCAGTCTCTAGGTGAATATTGAAAATGGGTACTTGACTTGGCCTAGGTTTCAGCCAACAGCAGGTAGATACTGGTCTGGCAAAAAGACAATGTCTAGCAAAAAGAAAAATTGACATTTTAAATATGGTTTTAATATACCTTAATAGTTAATTCCATTTATGGCTTTTGATCAAAGTACAATAATAAAAGCCACACCTATAATGTCTCAAACATACTATGAATCATTTTAAATATATCATCTTTAGATTTCCCATCATACCTGCAATATAGGTAATAGCCCTCTTTTTTCTTTATTGATTTTATTTATTAAATGCTCATGTTATTTTGTTTTTCTTTATTGATTTTTGGAGAGAGAGAGGAAGGGAGAGGGAGAGAGATAGAAACATTGATGAGAGAGAACACTGATTGTTCGCCTCCTGCATGCCCCCCTGCTGGGGATTGGGCCCACAACCTGGGCATGTGCCCTGACCAGGAATTGAACTGGCAACCTCTTGGTACATGGGTCGACGCTCAGCCACTGAGCCACACCCGCTGGGCAATAGCCCTCTTTTTTACGTAAGAGAAAATTGAGGCTCAAAGAAGTGATTTTGCTTCAAAGAGACAGGATCTAGACTGGGAGAGAGCCTGGGTGCAAAGTACTGCAGGACGCCTCTTTGAGAGATTTTTGTTGCTTCTTGAGTGGGAGAGAGGTTTTTGAGAGGGAGACTCAAACATGCCTTTGCTTGAGAAGAGCCAGTGGAAGGAAAGCCAAAATAAAAATAGAACTAAGGAAAACTAATGGAATAATACCCAGAGAGGATAGAAAGAAGTAGAGATTCAGTGACCAAGTTAGAGAACAGAACAAACATTTATTTGAGATAGCAGGACAGGAGTTGACTTCATTTTTCTCTCTCAAGTACTAGGCCAAGTTCTCTGCTGAAAGTGATTGAGGTTTGGACAGGGTTGGTGGCATCTAGTGTGTGGTGACATTTAGTGTAACCACAGGAATGAGCAAAAGAATGACAGTGTTGAGGACCCAGCTGAGGCCCCAACTATGTTCAAAATGACTTTTTCATCAAGGAATGCCATTCTATGGGAAATGTGTCATCTCATTGATTGCCAGGGATGACTCAGTTTTTTGGCTAGTTGACTAAGGAAGGTGTTTTTTCCTTTCCCTCTCTGTGTGAGATTACTAAAGCTATACATTTACATTTAAAAGCTCAAATAGGACCTCTTCAGTCCAGAGTACTTTATTAGCCACACTTCCTTTCTGTGAGTCTTTTGAGCAGGCTCTCAGGTGAAGGGAGAATTTGACAATATGATTACATGGAGACCTTTAACAGACTGTATTGTGGCAATGGAACTACTTTCACTTCCCCTTTTAAAGAAACAGGTGACAGAAAGCTTGTCCCTGGCCGTTAGTCATATTGTAGTGACACTCTAAAATGTGGTCTGGTAGATTCTGTTTGCTGCATTTTGAATATGTACACTATTGATAATCAAATGGTTTTATGTATATAAAATTTGGTATCTGAATTTCGTAGAAACAGAAATAGAAGTAATATTACCTACTTTAGAGAATAGGATTGTCTAAATAAATATGCAAAGATTTGTCCTTGTCATATATTTCTCTATGTATACATGTAATGTTTTCCTCAAGATTTTATGTAACAAATTGTTTAATCACATTTAGAGGATTTAAAGAGTGAGCTTTACTTTACTTTTTATATTTTGTAGGAGACCCATGTACAGTATCATCTCAGTTGGAGTTAGAAGAAGCCTTTAGGCTTTATGAACTAAACAAGGATTCTGAACTCTTGATTCATGGTAAAGGAGTAGTCATTTCTTTTTCTTCTAGAGCAATAATATTTTAAAAAAACTATATTCTTGACCAATTTAAAACATAATACTGATGTTATTTTCCTTATCTCTATCCCTCATCACTATATAATTGTCCTTATTCAGTAGTTTCTCAATTGCTAGAGAAAACAAAATGAATCAGCTTTTTTAATCTTGGGAAATTTGCTATTTGTGTATGCTTCCTTGGATATTAAAACTCAGTGTTTCGCAGCAAAGTTTAGCAAACAACTTAAGAATCGAGAGCCTAGTTGAACCTAAGTCATCCTCTTACAGTTTGTAAGTCATGCAAATAATGCTCTCTAAAGGTAAGGTATCTTAAATGTCTTTCTTTTGTTTAAAGGTTAACAGTGAAACAGTTTACATAGTTATTATAGACACTAGTGTGTGAAAGGTCAGCAAGTCTGAGAGGTCTGGGTAGTGGTATAGAGGAAGAAACCTAGACTCAGCCACCTGGTACAATATAGACCTGGGTTGTAAATATAGGTATTCTGATTCCAGATCTGTGTTCTTTTCATTCTGCCATGCTACCTCTCAATTTTTTACCTCATGTAGGACTCCCCTAATACACTGCACTTAATTGTAATACATTGGCAGTTTTTTGTTTTGTTTTTTATCCTCACCCAAGGATATTTTTCCATTTTATCTTCAGATAGAGTAGAAGGGGAAGAGAGAGAGAGAAACATCAATGTGAGAGAAACACATCAGTTGGTTGCCTCTCACACGACCCCAACCAGGGCCAGGGATGAACCGCAACCAAGGTACATGCCCTTGGCCGGAATCAAACCTGTGACTCTTTGGTCTGCAGACTGATGCTCTAACCACTGGACCAAACTGGCCAGGGCATTGGCAGTTTTTTATGGAACATTTTGGGGACACTGTAAACACTTAGGGGACTCTTTAAAACTTGAAACAGATATAAATCTCTAGGTATATCATTTCAGTACCTTGTTGTAATTCCCTTATACTTTTCTATATAGTGTCTTTTAAAAAAATAGTCATTTGACTTTTTATCTACCTAAGGGACTACATAGTGACTCCCAGGGGATCCATAATCTAATTTGTGGAGATCTTTAGCAGAATTTTAGAAGTCTTCCATTTTGAGGGTCATCTCTTTTTAGAATATAACTACAATGAATGTTTGAAGAAATGATTGCTCAATAGATTAAACAGTTTAAGTTTTATTTTTATACTGTTTCACAGATTTATTTTTATAAGTTAGTTTATATTTCAACTTTTAAAAATATATAAGGAACTGTGCTTCCTTCCCATGCTTTGTGCTCCTCATTAAACCTGTCCTTTTGAACATCACAGACCACACATAGTTGATTAAATGTTCATAAATGTACTGTTTATTTATTACGATCCAAATTAGCTTATTTAAAAACATACAGTTCCTAAGGTAAAAATTTACATTTTTGGATTTGGGTACTATTCCTGGTGTTAATTTACTCCTAAGTTTAGTATACCTCTTATAAAAATTATAATGGTTTATGTTCACATTTGTATACATTTTTGTAATTTAATTTTAATTCTTCATTGTAGTAAACATGTCACTACAACAAAGATTTAAGGAAATAGTAGTTAATGATTTCTCTAAGGACAAAAATAATCAATTAATGACGTAACAGAGACTTGAATGAGTAATTTGAGCTTCTAATGCATTATTTATGGATGGTCACTTTCACTAAAACTGTTTTAGATACCCTTGGTAAAGTGGACCTCTTCAAACAAATAATACTGACCATATGCTAAGTTTCTTGTGTCAGGAGAGGGTCAGGTTGAAATTTAGGTCTTTTTTTTTTAATATTTGAATTTAAACTTCTATGTAATTTACATGTTTTAAATATGCTGTATTAATTTTAGTTTATTTTCTTTCAGTATTTCCTTGTGTACCAGAACGTCCTGGAATGCCCTGTCCAGGAGAAGATAGTGAGTGTTTATACACTTCATACCACTGAATAAAGTTATTTATGATCCAGTGGCACAAGTGAAAGGAAATCACAAATATAGCTTTTAATTCATTTAGTTTCTTTTTCATTCTTTAGTCTAATTTAGAAAGTATTAGCAGCTGCCTAAACTCTACTTTGCCAGATCAAAATAAGGCAGTTCTTAGTTATAACTTACTGACATAATTATCGACTATGAATTTGAAAGGGAAATTAATTAAGTCATATTTCTTCTGGGTTTTTAATTTTGGAAATTTTCAAATCTATGGAGAAGTTGAAACATTGAAAACAAAGATACCCATATATCCTTTGCCTAAATTCACCAATTTTTAACATTTTCTGTGTTTGCTTTATCTCTTTATCTGTATGTGTGCACACATATGCCTATATGTATATACACATGAAACGCACTTGTTTTATTTATTTATTTATTTATTTTGCTATACCATTTGAAAGTAACTTATATAATACTTCACCTCTAAACACTTCCTTTCTCTCTAAAAAACAAAATCAATAAAAATATATTTTAAAAAGGAAGGAGTCAAAGAGCTATTTGGCCTGATGTAATTTAAATATGCAAACTTATATTGATCATAATATATTGGTTTTGATACATGGTATAATTTATCAGTTGTGGCCATTAGGAAACTCATTTTCACTTGAGGTTTCTGCACATATCTATGACTTTAGTAAATGTTTTGTTTTGAATTAAGTGAAGTAGTTCTAACTTTAAAAAAAAGTATTTTTTATTGATTTTTTTTAAAGAGAGAAAGTGAGGGAGGGAGAGAGAGACTGAGAGAGAGAGACATTGATGTGAGAGAGAAATGTTGATCTGTTGCCTCCCACATGCCAACCAGAAATCTGGGTATGTGCCCTGACCGGGAATCGAACCCTCCATCTTCTGGTGTATAAGACGACACTCCAACCAGCTGAGCCACACCTGCCAGGGCAGTAGTTCTAACTTTTAATTTTTTGACTCTCCATGCACTTGGTAAAAATGAAAAATTAAAGAACTATGGGTATTTGTATATAGAGTTGAATGGGGGCCGTATACTGTATAGGAAAATGAAGAAATATAAGAATCAGGCAGCACTCTGAAGCAGTAGTGAAAAATTTAGGTTTTGACTCACCTAGGAATATTTCTCTGGACTTCCATTGGCAGATGGATCAAAGCGAGTATAGGCTGCCTTCACAGAGCTGTTGGAGAAGCAACTGTTCTGTCTTTGGCCAACCCTGAGTTTAAAGACTTGCCATTGTAGCAGATCTTGGCTCCAGAGTCCCATCTGCAAATCTATTATGGGTCTATAGCACACAGATAAAATATTATTTCCTAACTTTTACACTATATTTCATGCTTGCTTTCCCGCTTTAAAATTTGCTGGTGGAAATTTTCACGCCACTCCTTCCACAGTATAGTAAATATTAATAAAATAGAGCATGGGGGAAAATTGATAACCATTATTGTGGTCTCTTGGCTCTTTTAATTCCTGGCCAACATTAACATGTTTAAATTTAAGATATATTAAGTTGTAGTTCATGAAAGCTTATGAAATAGGATGTTCTTTTAGGTTAAGATATGTTAACAGGAACTTTCTGCTTTGGTTACTCCTAACAGAATAAATAAAAATAAGACATCATATTCAAGGTTCTGTATTATACTATCTCAAAATTTCTAATTCAGAGCACTTCAACTGGTCTTTTCTATCTTTATTTTATTTTTTTAATTCCTCACCTGAGGATATTTTTCTATTTATCTTCAGATAGAGTGGGAGGGAGGGAGACAGAAACATCGATGTGAGAGGGACACATCGACTGGTTGCCTCCCACACGACCCCAACCCACAAGTCATTGATCCACAGGCAGACTCACTAACCACTGAGCAAAACTGTCCAGGGCTCTGTCTTAATTTTAAATTCAGTGTTACTTTGGCTTTAAAATGAATTTAGAAACCCACTGGAATCTTTCCGCAGTATTAACTATTATTGTGGAATATTTATTGACTGATAGATGTTGTATATACATAATAGTGATTGACTTAACCAAAGTTACACAGGTGATCTAGATTTGATTTTGTAGGAGCTCTTAGTTTGTTTAGGAAAATTTTTTTAAAAAATATTTTTTATTGATTTTTTTAGAGAGAGAGGAAGGGAGAGAGAGATAGAAACATTGATGAGAGAGAATATCAATTGGCCACCTCCTGCATGCCCCCCACTGGGGATTGGGCCCACAACCTGGACATGAGTCCTGACCTCTTGGTGCATGGGTCGACACTCAACCACTGAGCCACACTGGCCAGACTAGGAAAAGTATTAATATAAAAATACCATTGGATAAAAGGTTGTTGGGGTAGAGAATATTCTCATGGTTACAAAATGTTCCTTAGATATTTGTAAGAGTGCTTACAGAAAGGAACAACCCTGACCGGTTTGGCTCAGACCCAAGAGTCACGGGTTGAATTCCCAGTCAAGGTCACACACATGCCTAGGTTGCAGATTTGATCCCTAGACCCAGGTCTGTGCAAGAGGCAGCCAATCAATGTTGACACATCGATGTTTCTCTGTCCCTCCCTCCCTTCCACTCTTATCTAAAAAAAAAAAAATCAATGAAAAAATATCTTCAGGTGAAGATTAACAAAAACAAAACAAAAAGGAACGGTGGTGTGGCTCAGTGGTTGAGTATAGAGCCATGCACCAAGAGGTTAGCAGTTTGACTCACAGTCAGGGCACATGCTCAGATTGTGGGCTAAATCCCCAGTGGGGGGCATGCAGGAGGACACCAGTCGATGTTCTCTCTCATTGATGTTTCTATCTCTCTCTCCCTTCCTCTCTCTCTAAAATCAATAAAGAAAAAAATTTTAAAAAGAAAAGGAACATACCTTATAATAAAGAGAACTAGTAATCACTGCCTTTAACAGAGTGAACACCAATAGTGGGACTCAGTGAGCTGACTTTTGTGTATTTCTTGATGTGATGCAATAAGAAATACACATCACTTGTGTATTATTTTTGCCTAAGTATTTACTACTGACTCTAATGAAGCAACAGATAAATCCAAAATGTAGGACTTAAGACAACTGCCTAGACATTTTTTAAAAACTCAACGTTATGAAAAACAACATATAGAGTGAATGTTTTGTCCAGCTTGTGTGGCTCAGTGGTTGAGTGTCGACCCATGCACCAAGAGGTCACCAGTTCAATTCCTGGTCAGGACATATGCCCAGGATGTGGGCCCAATCCCCAGTGGGAGGTGACCAGTTGATGTTCTCTCTCATCGATGTTTCTATCTCTTTCTCCCTCTCCCTTCCTCTCTCAAATCAATAAAAGAAAGAAAAAAAGCAGAGTGAATGTTTTAGCATACATTAAAGAGACAAAAAAAGGTAAGCATCCAAATGCAATGCCTGAATTTTGATTAGATCCTCTGGAGAAAAAGAAAGCTATGAATGACACGTTGTGGGCAAATAGAGAAATTTGCACCTGAACTGTATATTAGATAATATTAAATTAATGTTAATTTTTTAAGACATGGTAATGGTATTGTGCTTAAGTGGAATTAGGGGGAATGTCCTTAATCTGAGGCAATAGGAATTTAAAGGTAAAGTGTTATGTATGATACCTGCAACTTTTTTGCTTTTATCCCCACCCGAGGACATTTTTGCATTTATCTTCAGAGCGGGAGGGAGAGAGAGGAGAAGAGAGAGAGAAACATCAATGTGAGAGAGACACATTAACTGGTTGCCTGCCACCCACACGACCCCAACCGGGACCAGGGACCATCTGCAATCAAGGTATGTGCCCTTAGCAGGAACCGAACCCAAGACTCTCTGGTTCACAGGCCAATGCTTTAACCGCTGAGCCAAAATGACCAGGGCGATATCTGCAACTCTTAAGTGATTCAGGAAAACGTGTCTGTGTAAATAGAGAGGAAAGCAAGTGCTTGCTTCCGCAGCACATATACTAAAATTGGAAAGCAAAATATGACAAAATAAAATGTTAGTAATGGCAAACTTTGGTGAAGGATGCAGGTGGTTATTGTTTTATTCTTTCAACTCCTCTCTGAACTTAAAAATTTTTCAAAAATCAAAGTTGGGGGGAAATGAAAAAACAGAAAAACAATAATAGTTACTGAAACATTTATATTCCGTGGGCTTTATTTTCATCTAGTCCTTTGATGAATCCATTTTATTTGTTCACTTTCAGGTTTTTATCAGTCTACATTTTTTTTCTTCCAATCAATATTGTGAAAAAAATCACAGGCTTAATTATAATAATTTTTATTCACAATTGCTCTTTTTTAAACTTTTAATCTCTCTTCAGAATCCATCTACCGCCGAGGTGCACGCCGCTGGAGAAAGCTTTATTGTGCAAATGGCCACACTTTTCAAGCCAAGCGTTTCAACAGGGTAAACCTTAGTTTGTTGAATGCTGATAATTTGAAATCTCTATTTTGAAATCTCTATTATGAAAGAAAGGTAGTCGTGTTATCCCCTTTTAAAGGAGTAAGGTTACCTAACATTCCTAGTATTTGCAGTACACGTGTTTTCTTGAGGTAACTTTTTTTTTCTTTAATCCTCACCCAAGGATATTTCTTTTATCATTTTTACAAATTTATCTTTATTGTTAAATATATTATAGATGTCCCCCCTTTTTTCTCTCATTGACCCCCTCCTCCCCGCTCCCGCCTTCCCCACACTATTATCTGTGCCCGTTGGTTATGCATATAAGTTCTTTGGTTTATCTCTTCCCCACCCTTCTCCCCCCTCCCCTTTGAGGTTCATCAGTCTATAACAATCAATTTGTACGTCTTAATCCCTTTACCTTTTTTGCCCAATCCCCCAACTGAGGATATTTTTCCATTGATTTTTTTAGATAGATAGAGTGGGAGGAAAAGAGGGAGAAAGAGAGAGAAACATCTGAGAGAGACACATGGATTGGTTGCCTCCCACATGACCCTGACTGGGGCTGGGGATTGAACCTGAAACCGAGATGTGTGCCCTTGACTCTCTGGTTAGTGGGCCAACACTAACCACTGAGACAAACTGGCCAGGGCTCGAGGTAATTTTTTTTTTAATCTTCACCCAAAGGTATTCTTCCATTTATCTTCAGATAGAGTGGGAGGGAGGGAGGAAGAGAGACAGAGACAGAGACAGAGAGACAGACAGAGAGAGAAATATCTATGTGAGAGAGACACATCAGTTTGTTGCCTCCCGCACGACCAGGGCTGGGGACTGAACTGAAACTGAGGCATATGCCCCTGATGGGAATGGAACTCGAGACTCTTTGGTCCACTGGCCGACGCTCTAACAGCTGAGCCAAAACAGCCAGGGTGGCTTGAGGTAATTTTTAATAGCATTTCGTTTTGCTCTCTAAAATGTTCCTGATTTGATGATTAATTATATGGTTACCCTAGCTATAAGAAAGTTGGGCTTTTTAATATAATTCAAGACACCCAGAATATAAACAAGGTTTATTTTTTTAATTGATTTGACAGAGAGGAAGGGGAAGAGAAAGAGAGAAAATCATTGACATGAGAGTGAAACATCTATTGGTTGTCTCCTGCACACCCCCTACCAGGGGTCAAGCCCAAAGCCCAGGCATGAGCCCTGACCAGGAATCCAACTGGCAACCCTTCAGTACATGGGTCAGTGCCCAACCAACTGAGCCAGGGCTCACTGTCTCTTTGTTTTTAATTAAAAAATTTTTTTTCTTTTATTGATCCTAGAGAGAGAGGAAGGGAGAAGGAGAGAGATAGAAACATTGATGAGAGAGAATATCGACTGACCGCCTCCTGCATGTCCCCCACTGGGGATTTGGCCCACAACCTGGGCATGTGCCCCGACTGGGAACTGAACTGGCGACCTCTTGGTGCATGAGTCAGTGCTCAACCACTGAACCACACTGACCAGGCGCACTGTCTCTTTAAAATAAGCTCTCTTTTCTGTTTATTTTTCCCTGACCATCGTAGCTTTGGAAAAGTTATGTATGATGATGAGAATTGCGGTAGAGAAGAAAGCCACTTATTTTCACTATTTTATGAGCAAATTGTTGGGGAATAATTATGACCCTTTTGTTGTTGTTACTAAATTCTGTTGAATTACTCTTTCCAGCGTGCCCACTGTGCCATCTGTACTGACCGAATATGGGGACTTGGACGCCAGGGATATAAGTGTATCAACTGCAAACTCCTGGTTCATAAGAAGTGCCACAAACTTGTCACAATTGAATGTGGGCGACATTCTTTGCCACCGGTAAGATATAGTTGTCTATTTTTAATAGAGCTTTTTAAAATAACACTACTAGCACAGAGGACTAAATGGGCCGGGATGTTAAGGAATCACAACTCGACAGTGTTGTTACAGAATGTGGATAGGAATACTGTATAGTTCAGCTCACATATTTTGAATTTGGGAATTGTCATTACAAATCTGTCTGTAGGATATAGTTAACTTTTCTGTTTAGTTGATACAAAACCTTCTGGTCTAAATTAGAAAGATGTAGATAGAACCGTTTAAGTGATTTTTTTCTCTTCTTTAAGCTAAACTCATTCATTTATAGCTCCAATTATTTTAACATTGACACTAAGCACAGATCAGATAAGAACAGTCAGAGTCTTCTTGTTTGCTATTTAAAGTGTCATATTAATTGGGGAGTGTTTGCATTTAACATTTTTATTTTTCACTTTCTGTTTTAAATATGTAATAAAAGCATGTTTCTTATAGAAAAATAGATAACACAAATGCATAATAAAAATTAAATAAGCCCTGGCCAGTTTGGCTCAGCGGTTAGAGCGTCGGCCTGCGGTCCGGAGGGACCCGGGTTCGGTTCCCACTAAGGGCACGTACCTCGGTTGCAGTTTGTCCCCGGCCCTGGTTGGTCGTGTGGGTGGCAGCCACTCGATGTGTCCCTTCCCGTCGATGTTTCTCTCTCTCTCTCCCTTCCTCTCTCTCCCTCCCACTCTATCTGTACAAAAAATGGAAAAATATCCTCGGGTGAGGAAAAAAAAAATTAAAAATTCCCTATTAAATCTACCATCTAAAGATAATTGTCATTTGTATATATCTTTTCAGAACTTCTTCTGTGCAGATTAATATGCATAAATATTAAAATTTTTTCCATGTAGAAAAAATTTAAACATATATTAAGAGTAGATGGAACAGTCCTGGCCATTTTTGCTCAGTGGTTAGAGCATCGGCCTGTGGTCCAGAGAGACCCGGGTTCAGTTCCTGCTAAGGGCATGTACCTCGGTTGCAGTTTGTCCCCGGCCCTGCTTGGGTTGTGCGAGTGGCAGCCACTCAATGTGTCCCTTTCACGTCGATGTTTCTCTTCCTCTCTTTCCCTCCTACTCTATCTGAACAAAATATTGAAAAATGTCCTCAGGTGAGGATTATAAAAAAAAAAAAAAAAAGAGTAGATGGAACAGTATAATGAACTTCCATATACCAGTCACCCTGCTCCAACAGTTATTAATTCATCACCAATCTTGTTGCATCTGTACCCCCACCCATTTAACCCCGTGTTATGTTGAAACATATCCCAGACTTATTTCCGAATGTACCTCTAAAGATAAGGACTCTTTTTAAAAACTAAAAACCAAATTCCTTATGTCAAATGTCCATCCAGGACCAGGCAATGATCAAAATTTCGGTTATCTCATAAATGTTAATTTGTTTTTACAATTTTCATTATGAATCAGGATCTGAATGAAGTCCATATTTACAATTGATTGCTATATCTTAGCTTTTTTGGGGGGGTGGTACATGCCCCTAGCAGGAACCAAACCCAGGACTCTCTGGTCCGCAGGCCAACGCTCCAACCACTGAGCCAAACCGACCAGGGCATATCTTAGCTATTTTTAATTTACCGATTCCTTTCTCTCTCTCTCTCTCTCTGTGTGTGTGTTGCTCTCTCATTCTTGCTATTGCTCTTTTTTTTTTCTTACAGTTTAATTGTAGAGGAAACTATTATCATTTAAAGTTTTGCATAATTTTTCTCTTTGTTTTTTCGTGGTTATGTTTAAAATGTTCCCCTTCTTTATTTTCTGTATATTATAGTTAAATCTAGAGGTTTAGATATTGAGTTTTGGGGTTTATTTTGTGGGTTGTTTTTGAGACTACTTCATCGAAAGTGGAGTGTTTATCCGTCAGAAGGCACATAATGTTTGATGTGTCTCTTTCTTTTGCATACTTTTTAACAAAAGTGAGATCATATAGGTACTGTTTTTTAACTTATTTTTCTTACTGAACAATATATTTTGGTCCTCTTTCTATGTTTAGCTATCTATATCCTCATCATTTTTAATGTAATATTTTGTTATATGTCTATTCCATGATTTTTTTAACCTGTTCTTCACGATCAAACAGTTGAGTTGTTTTCTTAATTTTCCTATAAAGAAAATCATAATGAACTTTCTGTAAATAAATCTTATTTTTTCCTTAAGGATCCAGAAGTAGAATTACAGGATTAAAGAATATGCATTTTTAAAAAGATCTGGATGCATCTTTCTAAATTGTCTTCTAGAATAATTATACCATGTTTATTCATAGTGCCTTCTTTAACCTCCTGAAAGCAGATTATTAGTGATATCTCTTAGGTATGAGAATTATTTAGCTGGTTCATATAAGCGTAGATGTGGGTTTATACAAGTTAGGAAGGTGAAAATTCAATATTAAGGAAAAACCGAAGGACAAAAAGGGTGAACATAACTTCTCCAGGCTACTGTTGATATTTGTGTGTGTATTCTTTGGTGATAGATGACTTGTGTGAGTTTATAAATGTAAAAGAATAGAGGGACAGAGTTAGTGATTATATTTAGAATGGATGCTAAATGCATTGAAAAATTCACAGCCTATCTTTAAAGCAGCCGTAAAGTTATAACCATATAATTAATGCTCCTTCTCAAGTTCACCTTTTTTTGCTGGTATTTATTAAACCTGGTTCCAAGATTAATGAGTTAGTAGTATTATCCTGAGGTTATTGGCAGTTAGTTGGTTAAAACTCAGTTTCTAGGAGATTTTTCTATTCCTTTTTCGATCACTGATACCTTGCCACAAAATTTTACATATAATTTTAAGACAATTATATACATCTTGAAATCTATCTCTGGGCCTCAGCTGAAGAAGTCAAATACTAGAGAATCTTTCTGCCAGAGACTTAAAGTAAGTATATGGAGCTCAAAACAAGATTAAGTAGTATAGAAGAGAAACAAATCAGAGTATATAGAAGTTTAATTTTGATTTCTACCTGATTGTCTGAAATTAGTTTTGTGTTCCTTCTGTTATCTGTAAAATGTGACATTACCTCATTTATAGGAATATTGTATGGAATATTATATAATAAAATTAAAAGTAAATTAAATATAGTAATATAATTCTCACTTATTAAGTTATATTTTTTCAAATTTGAGTTTTAATATGCTGTTTCTCATCAAAATAATGTTCTTCGATTTATAGAGATATTGGGATTTAAAAATAATCCACTGAGTTATTGTTTCTTTGGAAATGTTTGTAGGAACCAATGATGCCCATGGATCAGTCATCCATGCACTCAGACCATGCACAAACAGGTAAGAATGACAGTGTCATGAACCATTATTCATCAACAAAGTATTATTCAAAGACTTCTGTAGGTGACTCATTCACCCAAGTTTAAAAACATTTCTGTCCTCCCCAAATAAAAGTTAGGTAAACATATTTTGCATTGGTAATATTGTAACAATATTTAACATATATATTTAACATTTTAAAAAGACAACTGTGTAAGCTACAGCAAATGATTTTTTTTCTCTAATTTAGATTAATTTATTTTGAGATCCCTTTAAATTCAGCTAGTCTGGTTTTTTCAATAATGAAAACATACTGATTTTATGGGCCATGTTGACTGTTAAAGTGAGTCTGTTTTTATTAAAAGCTTTATTATCAGAAGTAGAACGTGTGTAAAAGATACAGAGATGCAGTATAAAAATTTTTTAAAAATCATGTGAGAAACATTGATGTGAGAGGGACACATCGACAGGTTGCCTTCCACACAACCCCACCAGGGCCAGGAGCGAACCGTAACTGAGGTACATGCCCCTGGCTAGAATTGAAACCCCAGCTCACTGGTCCACGGGCTGATGCTCTAACCACTGAGCAAAAACTGACCAGGGCAGATACTTAATTTTAATGATGAAAACTAAACTAATAAAATCAAGAGAAAATTTAAGTCAAACTCAGCTAATGGATGCTGTGTTTCTCTTTTTTTTTATGTTTGGGATTGGGTTTTTAGTAATTCCATATAATCCTTCAAGTCATGAGAGTTTGGACCAAGTTGGTGAAGAAAAGGAGGTAAGTAAGTTAATTAGTCTTTTAAAATATGTATATAAAAAATATATATATATATATTTAATGATAGTTGTTCATGTTAATTTATTGAAGGTTAGTCTTATTGTACATTATGCCATTAAGTTTTAATAATACTTGACAGTATAAAAATATGAGAAATTGACTTACTTAGATTTTATATTATAATGGTAAAATGCAGGAATGATTTTTATTTATTTATTTATTTTTAAATATTTTTTTCTTTATTGATTTGAGAGAGAAAGGAAGGGAGAGGGAGAGAGAGATAGAAACATTGATGAGAGAGAACATCAATTGGCTGCTTCCTGCATGCCCCCTACTGGGGATTTGGCTCACAACCTGGACATCTGCCCTGACTGGGAATCGAACTGGCGACCTTTTGGTGCATGGGTTGATGCTCAACCACTGAGCCATACCAGCTGGGCAGGAATGATTTTTATTGATTCCAGAGTTTTATTCTGATTTAATCTAATAATTAAATTATTGATATCATTTAAATTAAGATATAATCTGATAGAATAATTTATTTTCATTTTAAGATACCATAATCTAAAATTTATAATGCATTTAAGAATGGTGTTTAGAATACTTGGCCATATTGTTAAAGTATACTTATAGATCCTTTCATTTTTATGGGCTGTTATTTAAGTATAAATGATTAGGCATCTTAACTTCCACTATTTTTTCTGACTATTAAACATTTTATCAGTTTTTAAAATAAAATTTTAGTTAAAATATTTAATTAAAATGATAACCAATTAAAAAAATATATTTTTATTGATTTAGAGAGAGAGTCCAGGAGAAGGAGAGAGAGATAGAAACATCAGTGAGAGAGAAACACATCAATTGGTTGCCTCCACATGACCCACCTGTATCAGGACTGGGACTGAACCTGCAACCCAGGTACATGCCCTTGACTGGAATTGAACCTGACCCCTCGGTCCGCGGGCTGATGCTATAACCGTTAAGCCAAACTGGCCAGGAGGATAACCAATTTTTGTAAAACAGCTTTTAGTAAAACAAATTTATCATACCTCATACCTTTCATTCCTACTTTGACTTCTGAGAGGCAAACCTTTTTAGTCATTCTAGTGTGTCCATAATGTTTATACCTCTGGGGGTTTTTGTTGTTGTTTTTGTTTTTGTTAATCCTCACCTGAAGATATTTTTCCATTGATTTTTAGATAGAGTGAAAGGGAGAGAGGGAGCGGGAGAGAGAGAGAGAGAAACATTGAAGTGAGAGAGACGCCTTGATTGCCTCTCACATGACCCAGAACTGGGTCCAGGATCAGACTTGCAACCCAGGTACATGCCCTTGACCAGATATCAAAACCGTGACCTTAGATCTAACTGCTGAGCCAAACCAGCCAGGGCGATATACCTCTGTTTTTTAATATTAAAACCCTATTAATGATCATGAAAGATGTAGTTCACACTGCCTCCCCCTTTTCTCTTCATTTTCTAATGTTTAATAGGGTATGTTTTACTCTTGGTTACCTTTAAAAAACCCACCTTAACCCACCTTTTATTATGGAAAATTTCAAACATAAATAAGAGTAAACAAAATAGTGTAATAAAGCCCCTGTATCCATGTTAAAACAATCATCAGTACATAGCCAACATAGTTTTGTAATTGTATTTACACTAATTACTGATTTGTTTTTAAATCCACCATTTTACTATTTTCTATAACTCACCTATTTAATATGTTACTTTTGTTGCCTTCTTTTGGGTTAATTATTATTACTTTTTCACATCTTTTAGCTTGTTTGATATTCTTTTTTAAAACCATTTTCTTTTCTATTACAATTGACAGTATTTATATTAGTTTCAGGTGTACAGCATAGTGGTTAGATATTTATATAATTTATGAAGTGATCCCCTTGATAAATTTAGTACCCACCTGGCACCATTCACAGAATTACAATATTATTGACTATATTGCCTATGCTATATTTTACATCCCCGTGAATATTTTGTAAGTACCAATTGTACCTCTTAATCTCTTCACCTTTTTTCCCAATCCCCCTTCCCAACTGGCTATCAGTTTTTTGTCTGTATCTGTGAGTCTATTTCTGTTTTGTTTGTTCATTTATCAGCAGTTCTCAACCTGTGGGTTGCAACCCCTTTGGGGGTCCAACAACCCTTTCACAGGGGTCCCCTAAGACACAACAGTAGCAAAAGTACAGTTATAAAGTAGTAACAAAAATAATTTTATGGTTGGGGCAACCACAACATGAGGAACTGTATTAAAGGGTCACAGCATTAAGAAGGTTGAGAACCACTGAAGATTGTTCATTAAATTTCACATTTAAGTGAAATGATATGGTAGTTGTCTTTCTCTGACTGACTTATTTCACTTAGCATAACACCCTCTCTGTCCATCCATGACGTTGCAAATAGTAAGATTTCATTCCTTTTTTATGGCTAAGTAATATTCCATTGTAACTTTGTACCACTTCTTTATCCAATCATTTATTGATGGACACTTAGGTTGCTTCCATATGTTGGCTATTGTCAATAGTGCTGCAGTGAACATTAGGATACAAATCTTTTCAAATTAGTATTCTGGATTTCTTCAGATATATACCCAGAAGTGGTATTGCTGAGTCATAAGGTAGTTCTATTTATAATTTTTTCAGGAACCCCCACACTGTTTTCCATAGTGGTTGTACCAGTTTGCATTCCCACCAACAATGCACAAGCATTCCCTTTTCTCCATGTCCTCGCCAACACTTGTTTGTTGATCTATTGTTGATAGCCATTCTGATAAGTGTGAGATGATATCTTATTATGATTTTAATTTGCATTTCTTTGATGGTTAGTGACCTTGAGCATCTTTTCATATGTCTATTGGCCATCCATATGTCCTCTTTGGAGAAATGTCTATTCAGGTTCGCTGCCCATTTTTAAATTGGATTTTTTTCTTTTTTTGGTGTTATGTTGTATGAGTTCTTTTTAAATTTGGGGTATTAACCTCTTATCAGATGTATCATTGATGAATGTCTTTTTGTTTTGTTGATGGATTCCTTTGCTGTGCAAAAACTTTTTATATTATGTAGTCCCATTTATTTATTTTTTCTTTTGTTTCCATTGCTCTAGGAGATATAGCTACAAAAACATTACTAAGAGTAATGGCAGAAAGTTTACTGCCTATGTATTCTAGGAGTTCTTAAGACTTCAATCCCTTTTTAATTATTCTCTTCCTTTCTTCCTTCCTTTCTTTCTTTCCTTCCTTCTTTCCTCCCTCCCTTCCTCCCCCCTCTCTTTCTTTCTTCATTGTGGTATGTGCCCCTAGCGGGAACCGAACCCAGGACTCTCTAGTCCGCAGGCCGATGCTCAACCGCTGAGCCAAACTGGCCAGGGCTGAATTATTCTTATATATGGTATAAGAATGTGGCCTAGTTTCATTTTTTTTTTTGCATGTATCCAATTTTCCCAGAACCACTTATTGAATAGACTGTCTTTACTTCATTGTATATTCTTGCCTCCTTTGTTATAGATTAATTGACCATATAGGCATGGATTTATTTCGAGCTCTCTATTCTGTTCTATTCATCTATGTGTCTGTTATTATGCTAGTACCATGCTGTTTTGATTACCATAGCCTTGTAGTATAGGATACTGTTAGGTAGCATCAAAACCTCCAACTTTATTCTTTCTCAAAATTGCTTTGGCTATTTGGGGCTAATGTGTGGTTTCATATACATTTTTTGGTTATTCTGGTTCTGTGAAAAATTCCATTGGTATTTTGATAGGGATTGCAGTGGATCTATAGATTGCTTTGGGTGGTATGGACATTCTAATGAGGTTATTTTTTCCTATCCATGAGCACAGTGTATGCTTTCATTTATTTGTATGTCCTTCAGTTGCTTTCTTCAGTGTCTTAGAATTTTCCATGTACAAGTCTTTCATTTCCTTGGTTAAATTTATTCTTAGGTGTTTTATTTCACTTTTTTTGATGCAATTGCAAATGGGATTGTTTTCTTAATTTTTCTTTCTGAGAGTTGTTATGGTGTATAAATATGCAGCTGTTTCTGTATATTTATTTTGTATCCTACTACTTTACTGAATTCATTTATCAGTTCTAGTAGGTTTTGGTGGAATCTTTAGGGTTCTTTTTTTTTTTCTTATCCTTACTTGAGGATATATTTGTTTGTTTGTTTGTTTGTTTGTTTTAATTGATTTGAGAGAGAGAAGCAGAGAGAGAAACACTGATATGAGAGAGAAACATCGGTTGGTTGCCTCTCATATGTGCTTTGACTGGCAATTGAACCTGCTGCCTTTTGGTGTATAGGACAATATTCCAACCAACTGAACCACACCATTCAGGGCTAGGATTCTTTATATATAGTATGCCATCTGCAAATAATGAGTTTTACCTCTTCCTTTCCAATTTGGATGCCTTTTTCTTTTTTCCTTGTCTGATTCCTATGGCTAGGAATTCCAATACTATGTTGAATAAAAATTGTGAAAGTAGACATCCTTGTCTTGTTCCTGATCTTAAGGAAAAGGCTTTTAGCTTTTCACCACTGAGTATGATGTTAGCTATGGGTTTGTCATATACAGTCTTTATTATGTTGAGGTATGTTCCCTTTATTCCCACTTTCTGAGAGGTTTTATCATAAATGGATGTTAGATTTTGTTAGATGCTTTTTGTGCATCTATTGATACGATTATATGATTTTTATCCTTTATTTGTTTATGTGATGTATTGTGTTAATTGATTTGCGGATATTGAACCAGCCTTGCATCCCAGAAGTAAATGCCACTTGATCATGGTGTATTAGCTTTTTAATGTATTGCTGAGTTCAGTTTGCTAATATCATGCTGAGGATTTTTTTTCACTAATTTTTTTTTTTGATCCTCACCGGAAGACACTTTTGCATTCATCTTCAGATAGAGCGAGAGGGAGAGAGGAAGGAAGAGAGAGAGAGAGAGAGAAATATCCATGTGAGAAAGACACGTCAACTGGCTGCCACCCA